AAAAAAAAAAAAAAAAAAAAAGTTTTTTATTTGTTCTCTAAGATCTGCTCTTACTGAGGTAGATCAGTGATTAAAGTAACCAAATTTGAGCATCAGAAGACCTTCCAGTCTACTTGCTGAATGAGCTGTACAGTTTTGAAAAGCAAAACTATAAAACAACGTAAAAAGGTATATTTTTCCTCATCTCTACTTGTGATTTCATCTATTTGTCCTTAAAAGCCACTCCTACAAAAGCATAAACTTTATAGATATTTGCATGGTAGGTGTTCACAGATTGCTGTTGTGTTTTTCTTTTTACAAGAACAATGTATGTCCATTAGTGGGAAAATAAAAAGAAACCATAGACAAGCAAAAGGCAGAAAATAGAAAACACTCAGAATTTCACTCACAGATCATTATCTTCAACTTGGTGTGCCTACTTCTAAGGCCTATTCTTTTCTTAAAAATTATTTTATTTTAAAATGCAGACCTAAGTATGCATTTCTACATGAATGTGATCATATCAAACATATTTTTTAAACATTTATTTCAAAAGAGAAATCTTATTCCTTTGTGGTAGAGTAAAAGAAAAATTGAATAGAAAATAAAATCTCTAATTAAGAAAAAAAAGCTACCTCTACCAGCTTGCTCATGTTTTAAATTTAATTATTGTACATTAAAAAATGTATAATGATTATGTGAAGGCAGCCGAATGTTGAGATAGGCAAATCATGCTGGGTTAAGCCCACAGACTCTAGAGGCAGACTATCTGGCTTTGCGTCCTGTGCCGCATACCAGCAGTGTGATTTTGGACAAGTGCTTAATTGTTCTGTGCCTCAACTTTGTCATCTGTAACATGGGGGATAATAATATTATTAATATTATATTTTAATATCTGTTTTATATTCCATTACTATATAATGTTATGAGGATTAAATGACTTAACTGCTTTTGAAGTGCTTAAGACAGTACGTGATACATAACATTCCTTGGTAGGTGTTTACATTTCTCCTACAATCACCAATTTTCTCCTACACTTTTCTTCTACAATGGCCAAGTTTGTAATAAATAGTTTGTTTTTTTTTTTTAACATATGCCCTTGCACATGTATTCAATTATTCTGTCAGATAAAATATACACATCCTTTGACATAGCCATTCCTAGAAATGGAATGGCTATGTCAAAGGATGTGTATATTTTAAATTCTGGTAAAGAGATTGCATGAAAAATTGGCACATTATTATTATTTTATATATATATATTTTATTGCATTTTAGGTTCTGGGGTACATGTGCAGATCATGCAGGATTGTTGCATAGGTACATACATTGCAATGTGGTTTGCTGCCTCCATCCCCATCACCTATATCTGACATTTCTCCCCATGTTATCCCTCCCCTACTCCCTACCCCCCACTGTCCCTCCCCTTGTCCCCCTGCCACAGACCTCAGTGTGTGATGCTCCCCTCCCTATGTCCACGTGTTCTCATTGTTCAACACCCACCTATGAGTGAGAATATGCAGTGTTTGATTTTCTGTTCTTGAGTCAGCTTGCTGAGAATGATGGTTTCCAGGTTCATCCATGTCCCTATAAAGGACACGAACTCATCATTTTTTATGGCTGCACAGTATTCCTTGGTGTATATGTGCCACATTTTCCCTGTCCAGTCTATCACTGATGGGCATTTGGGTTGGTTCCAAGTCTTTGCTATCATAAACAGTGCTGCAGTGAACATACGTAAGTATGTGTCCTTATAATAGAACGATTTATAATCCTTGGGATATAAACCCAGTAATAGGATTGCTTGGTCAAATGGAATTTCTATTTCCTGGAGGAAATTTCTAGGTCCTTGAGGAATCACCACACTGTCTTCCACAATGGTTGAACTAATTTACACTCCCACCAACAGTGTAAAGCTGTTCCTATTTCTCCACATCCTCTCCAGCTTCTGTTGTCTCCAGATTTTTTAATGATCGCCATTCTAACTGGCGTGAGATGGTATCTCAATGTGGTTTTGATTTGCATTTCTCTAATGACCAGTGATGATGAGCATTTTTTCATATGTTTGTTGGCCTCATATATGTCTTCTTTTGAAAAGTGTCTGTTCATGTCCTTTGCCCACTTTCGAATGGGTTTGTTTGTTTTATTCTTACAAATAAGTTTTAGTTCTTTGTAGATTTTGGATATAAGTCCTTTGTCAGATGGGTAGATTGGAAAACTTTTTTCCCATTCTGTTGGTTGCCGGTTCACTCTAAAGATTGTTTCTTTTGCTGTGCAGAAGCCCTGGAGTTTAATTATTTCCCACTTGTCTATTTTGGCTTTTGTTGCCAATGATTTTGGTGTTTTAGTCATGAAGTCCTTGCTTATCATGCCTATGTCCTGAATAGTTTCGCCTAGGTTTTCTCCTAAGATTTTTATGGTGTTAGGTCTTATGTTTAAGACCTAATTATCTTTAATCTATCTGGAGTTAATTTTAGTGTAAGGTGTCAGGAAGGGGTCCAGTTTCTGCTTTCTGCACATGGCTAGCCAGTTTTCCTAACACTGTTTATTAAACAGGGAATCCTTTCCACGTTGCTTGTTTTTGTGAGGTTTGTCAAAGATCAGATAGTTGTAGATATGTGACTTTGCCTCCAGGGCCTCTGTTCTGTTCCATTGGTCTATATCTCTGTTTTGGTACCAGTACCATGCTGTTTTGATTACTGTAGCCTTGTAGTATAGTTTGAAGTCAGGTAGCATGATGCCTCCAGCTTTGTTCTTCTTGCTTAGAATTGACTTGGCTATGCGGGCTCTCTTTTGGTTCCATATGAAGTTTAAGGTGTTTTTTCCAGTTCTGTGAAGAAGGTCATTGGTAGCTTGATGGGGATAGCATTGAATCTATAAATTACTTTGGGCAGTACGGCCATTTTCACAATATTGATTCTTCCTAACCATGAACATGGAATGTTTCTTCATCTGTTTGTGTCCTCTTATTGCGTTGAGCAGTGGTTTGTAGTTCTCCTTGACGATGTCCTTTACATCCTTTGTTAGTTATATTCCTAGGTATTTTATTCTCTTTGTAGCAATTGTGAATGGCAGTTCCTTCTTGATTTGGCTCTCTTGAAGTCTGTTATTGATGTATAGGAATGCTTGTGATTTTTGCACATTGATTTTGTATCCTGAGACTTTGCTGAAGTTGCTTATCAGTTTAAGGAGATTTTGGGCTGAGATGATAGGGTCCTCTAAATATACAATCATGTCATCTGCAAATAGAGACAATTTGACTTCCTCCTTTCCTAATTGAATACTCTTTATTTCTTTTTCTTGCCTGAATGCTCTGGCTAGAATTTCCAATACTATATAGAATAGGAATGGTGAGGGAGGACATGCTTGTCTGGTGCCAGATTTCAAAGGGAATGCTTCCAGTTTTTTGCTCATTCAGTATGATATTGGCCATGGGTTTGTCATAAATAGCTTTTATTATTTTGAGATATGTTCCATCAATACCTAGTTTATTGAGAGTTTTTAGCATAAAGCGTTGTTGAATTTTGTCAAAGGCCTTCTCTGCAACTATTGAGATAATCATGGGTTTTTGTCTTTGGTTCTGTTTATGTGGTGAATTACGTTTATAGACGTACATATATGGAACCAGCCTTGCATCCCCAGGATGAAGCCTACTTGATTATGACGGATAAGCTTTTTGATGTGCTGTTGTAATCTGTTTGCCGTATTTTATTGAAGATTTTTGCGTCTATATTCATCATGGATATTGGCCTGAAGTTTTCTTTTCCTGCTGAGTCTCTGCCAGGTTTTGGTATCAGGATGATGTTGGTCTCATAAAATGATTTGGGGAGGATTCCCTCTTTTTGTATTGTTCGGAATAGTTTCAGAAGGAGTGGTACCAGCTCCTCTTTGTATGTCTGGCAGAATTTGGCTGTGAAACCATCTGGACCTGGGCTCTTTTTGGTTGGTAGGCTATTAATTGCTGCCTCAACTTCAGCCCTTGTTATTGGTTTATTCAGGGTTTTGACTTCTTCCTGGTTTAGGCTTGGGAGGGTGTAAACATCCAGGAATTTATCCATTTCTTTCAGGTTTACTGGTTTGTGTGCATAGAGTTGTTTGTAGCAATCTCTGATGGTGGTTTGTATTTCTGTGGAATCTGTGGTGATATCCCCGTCATCATTTTTTATTGCATCTATTTGATTCTTCTCTCTTTTCTTTTTTATTAAACTAGGTAGTGGTCTGTCTATTTTGTTGATCTTTTAAAAAAATGAGCTCCTGAATTTGTTGATTTTTTGAAGGGTTTTTTGGTGTCTCTATCTCCTTCAGTTCTGCTCTGATCGTAGTTATTTCTTGTCTTCTGCTTGCTTTTGAGGTTTTTGATCTTGCTTCTCTAGCTCTTTCAATTTTGACGATAGGGTGTCGATTTTAGATCTTTCCTTGTTTCTCATGTGGGCATTTATTGCTATATATTTTCCTCTAGAGACTGCTTTAAATGTGTCCCAGAGATGCTAGTATGTTGTGTCACCATTCTTGTTGGTTTCAAAGAACATCTTTATTTCTGCCTTCATTTCATTGTTTATCCAGTCCACATTCAAGAGCCAGTTGTTCAGTTTCCATGAAGTTGTGCGGTTCTGAGTTAGTTTCTGAATTCTGAGTTCTAATTTGATTACACTGTGGTATGAGAGACTGTTTGTTATGATTTTTGTTCTTTTGCATTTGCTGAGGAGTGATTTACTTCCAATTATGTGGTCAGTTTTAGAGTAGGTGTGATGTGGTACTGAGAAGAATGTGTATTCTGTGGATTTGGGTGGAGAGTTCTGTAAATGTCTATTAGGTTTGCTTAGTCTGGGTCTGAGTTCAAGACCTGGATATCCTTGTTAATTTTCTGTCTCGTTGATCTGTCTAATATTGACAGTGGAGTGTTGAAGTCTCCCACTATTTTTGTGTGGGAGTCTAAGTCTCTTTGTAGGTCAATAAGAACTTGCTTTATGTATCTGGGTGCTCCTGTA